GTAGCTGGGATGGGAAACACCTTCCCAGTTGGGGTATCAAGATAAATCAGAATTGGGCAGGGGGGAAAGGATGATCCAGAGCCGACGGCTGTGCTCAGGAAGGTGGGAGGAGAGCAGCCCACTGGGGACCAGAGCAGCAGCCGGGCTAGAAGTGCTCCTCCACCTCCAGCAGCCGACTCTGCAGACTCACCCTCCCAGGCTGCTCTAGGTGGAAGTCTAACTAATCAAGCTCTACCTTCCTAACTAGATAGAGCCTAGCCAGAAAACAGCAGAAACAATGAGTTAATGCAAAAAAACAAAATTTAAAAAATTCACACAGTATTTATTCCTTCCTTAAAATTAAAAAAAAAAGTAAAAGTAAAAAAAACAAAACAAACAAACTTAGGAAAAGCTTAAGGGAAACCAAATTGCAGGCGCTCCCCAGATAACATAAAAATTATTCTTAAATCGTACTGAGTTTAACTAATACTAATTGACACAGGACTCAGCTTGCAGACTCACTCACCCGGAAAAATCTGTAGTGAGAATGCCATAATGAAATATGTATATTCGGCTTATGTGGCACAACGTGAGGTATCCCATAGCTACAACAAAGGAGTACCTAAAAACATAACATACAGAACACATAGTTACCAACACAAGTACCAACAAGAACTAGAATCACTCAAATTGGGTTTGGGCTTGTTTAGGAGTGGAGTTTGATTTTTGCAAATCAGGTTGTTAACAAGTCTAAAGCTATGCGACAAGATCTGGCAGAAATTTTCAAAGAGGACTGATGGTTTTGTGTACCCAGCTGAAATATTACGGAAGCGCCTCCTCACACTGGGGGTGGGAAAAAGGAAAAGAAGAATCACTTCAAGGATCACTTCAAGTTAGGCATTTCAATTTTAGAGTTCCCACCCTCACATATTATTTTGAAATTTCTGTCTGACTCAAGTATTTGAAACCAAAGGATACCGTATGTGCATCGCTGAAGTTTTCCATTGCCTTTTTGATCTGTAAACGTTCTTTATTTACCTGTACAACTCTTCCACAGATCTACCAGAAACTAAAATATTTTAAGTTTAAGATATTTTCTCTCTTCTGATTTTGTATAAAGGCAGATAACAACACAAAGCCTAATCTTCTCGGCTCTAAATGCTAGAAGACGCCCCTGTCCAGAAGAAGCATTCCTTAAGCGGAGCTTGAACAAATTCTCTCTCTGTTTTTCAAGATAATCGCAAAATAATGTTAGGCAGGACACTAGCATGACTCTTTCTGTCTTAAGAGCTGAACAGTCTGAGGACTGGAGGTGTTGCAGTATCTAGGAGGGGCAGACGCAGCCTTTCCTACAACCAACTTCTCCCCGTACTTACCTGAGCAAGAAAGAGGGTACTGGGGAGGTAAGAAGCAGATGGATATTTGGAAACCAGACTGACACATGAAGCAAACTAGACCGCGCAATGGAGAGCTGGGACATCAGTATGAAAGGTTTGCATCACGTGGACAGGCCAGGATCAGGTCTACTGGTGTTCCATCAGAAGTTAGGCACGTGGGGAAGAAGATGCAAAGACCTAGAGACCACAGAAGGAGACCACATGTCCTGCACACCCGACGGAGCTGGGGCACGGGAGGTCGGGTGGGCTGGTGGCACACATTGCCAAGCGGGGTCCACCCAGACCCACGGGAGGATTGATCATGGTGGGGAACTAAAAGTGAAATCAGACAAGAATAACAGCCAGCAGACAACTGAAAATGAGCCAGGTCTTTGTCGAATCATGGTTGGCTTTAAAAGAAATGAGTTTTTCCTCCCTGGGGGCTAATAAACTGCAGCGTGAATGACAGTGATGGATCGCAAGGCAACCTGCGGGTCATGTGGCCCACAGCAAACAGCTGGATGAAAAGCAGACTGAGGGGACACGACAGCTTCTTCAGGAGATTCAGAGCAGAGTCGATCTTCTTTTATCCGGATGAAGCATCCAGTCCAGCCTCAGCGAGGTCCTTGGGCTCCCTCTCATCAACGCAGAACGGCAAGCATCCCTCCGAAGGCAAGTCAGACATGTAACAGTGATAGATGGGACGAAGCATCTAAAATAAGCCTCAATGCTTACGTGTAAAGCACCTAGACTGAAAGGAGGGTGAGCGGGAAGACATATACTGAATTGCTGCTGCAGCTGGGAGCATTTCTGGTGCTGGATTAATTTGTCCATTTAGAGGCCCTGAAGGGTGGCAGCCTCACCAGAGAGCAAACTAACAAAAAAATAACCAGGGAAAGGAGCATGCAGGTTAAACTATGTAGTTTCTTTATTTCATTTGTTCACTTCCGCTGGCGTTTTGGGGAGGGAAAAGCCAAGTCTTGAACCCCCACTATGAAGGACCCAGTGCTCTTATAAGATCTCTGTATGAACAGGTCCAGCCCTTTAACTGGCATTTTTCAAGCTTATTCTCAAGCAGCTTGAATACACCGTTATTGTGCCAAAATTAATAATGTGGAGTCACACTGCTATGGCGAGTGGAATACAGTAGAAAAGTCCTAAGCCGATCCTCCCAGCCTTCCTGAGGTTTTCCAGCATGTTGGATTGCTGTTTCACATTGACTCCAATCAACACAGGACTATCTCGCAGCAGCCGGTGACATTATACGAACTGGCTTAATTTGTGTTGCAGTATACAGCTATTTTTCCCATTGTGACTACCTGGTGAAGCAGTAAGAGTGAGGGGTTTTCCCACTGAACTTGTGCCCCTTTCCTTACCATCACCTCAAGTTGTCTAGGAAGACATAAGTAAGTATGGGATCATTCCGTCTCTAGACTTGGTTCCTCTGATCTACAGTTGATAACTCCTGCATTTCCCCCAAGTGATGGGCAGGGGCAATGACCAGGACACAAGTAACACACATTTTTAGCACCTTTTCCTTCTGGTCTCTGGATGGCATTTCTTTCATAAATATTGTCCAATTACTTTTTTTAAAATATTATTAATTACCTCTGGGCTTTGCACTTTGCAAGGGGGTGGAAAAAGCCTTCCTTGATTAATACCCATCTTGCTGGTGCAAAAACGCTAGCAACTGCTATAGACAGGCCCGTTTATGGTTCACGTTTCTAAACAAGCCTAGAGAAATCATAAGTGATGGTTCCCATTAGGATAATAGAGAGGGGTAGCCTTAGGAAGAAACAGAGAAGAAGGGGAGATGATTAACTGAGCATCGGACCCTCAGACAGCCCTGGCCCTGAAGACAAGAAAAGCAAGGGTTGCTGTTCCCCTGTCTTTTAGCCAGGAAGGCACTTGTTTGATAAAACACTTTAGGAGTCTTCCGTGTCTTCCTTCCTCTTGAGACATTTGTACAGGGAAAAGAAAGATCCCACGGAGGAGAACTTCTCATGACGATGCCATAAGCTTCTGCTTCAAAGCAACGACATTTCTGGTAGTTTCTACTTTTTTCAAGCTCAAAGCCCAGTACCAAATACAAGACTTAATTTCATAGATCACGAAGTTAAGCTGCCACGGTGACCTTATTTGAACTACCTAACTCAAAGAATAAGTGGAAAATACCTAAAGGCCAAACAGCAAGGGGGAAAACACATTAAAAAGGATTACCAAGAGCGATCCTCAAGGACACAAGACCAAGGAGAATATGACTTCACTGTGTTTAAGAAACCAGAGGTTTGGGCATTAACTATTAAGCCTGCAAAAGCCGGCTTTTGAGGCCAGCAATTTTGTAGTTTTTTTGGAAACGCAATAGATCAATGCAAAAACCACAAATTGAGACTACAGCTGCTTCTGTAACTGAATGACCAAAGCTCCTGGAAATAATTGGGAAAGAAAAGCAGGAAAGAAGAGAAAGTGGTCCTAAAAAACCCTCATGCTTGTCTGTGAAAGGAGAGAAATTGTCAGAGGGGCAGCTCCAGACTTGCAGGCACATCAGCTCACCTGTGGATGTTGGGAATGCTCGCCATATTCATTATGCCATAGTTCATCATCACCAGGACAAAAAGATGAATAGAATACCTTGAAGACAACAAAGCGAGCATTTAGATAATTTCTACGTGACCTGGAAGGGCTAGCAGTTCAGCGCGAGGGAATATTTTTCCATGCAAATGACATAAATGCAATGTCATATCAGGGTATCAGGAAACATGGATTATCACAATGACATCTTTATAGCCTGAATATCCAACATAGATTAATACTTATTGACAAGATATTGTCAATGTGTTTCATTGAGAGAAAGAGCAGCCTGGCTCAAAGCGCACGTTCAAATTGGACACATCTTTTCCAAAAGAGGTATCTTTACAGCAGACTGGAGTGGCTTTAACTTCCAGAATAAACATTGCAGAATAAATACTTCACCTACAAATAATTCCACGGTTGATTTTACTTTGAGGGTTTGGGATGGTTATGGTGGTTAGGAACTCTTTTTTTTTTTTTTTTTGAGATAACATAGAAAGTGCCTTAAGACTAAAAAGATGTTATCTGAACTGATATGAAGTTTAAAAATATTTTTACCCAAGGCTTGTCTACATGGTGACTAAATACTCACCACCCAAAGCAGAAGACAGCAAAGTATATTCCAAAGAGGGTGGCAAACGCATGGCGAACAGCAGAGCTGGCATGACTGGGACCCAAGTAAACACGAAACCAAAACGCAGCCAAAAGCGCAAACAGTTGACAGGCTACAAAATTGATCTGTAAAAGACAAACAAAACAAAAAACGGTTGTGATTCTTGGAGGAGGGGGGGAATGAGTCTCTCCATTCTCAGAATAATAAAGAGTGGAGCCAGGAAAAGGTGGCGGGGGGAGAAGTGAGGGCAATGAATCTTTGGTTTCTTGGCACTCTCACTTCTGAACCCAAGCCGTGACTTTCCTCGGCCAAGGGCAGAAGGGATGAAACGAGCATGTAGCCACCCAAAAACTCAGCGAAGAGGAAGCGCCGGCTCCAGCTCCCCGAGGTACGGGTGGGCTCTGGGTGGGTCTCTCTCTCGCCGGGGCAGGGCTCTGTTCCGCTGCCAGCAGCGCCGACGTACCCCCCTCTCTGTCCTCTTGGTGGGAAGCAGACTGGGACTATGAAGCATCGCCCCAGTGCCCGATTTTCTCCACAAACCCCAAAACAATGGAAGAAAAAAAAAAAATTCCACAATTCTGATGTGATGCTGTTTCACAAGCAATAACTGGACAGTCTTCTTAGCTGAAAAGTTCCACTCCACAGCATCCTCCAAGCAGGCCTTTCAACTTACCTATTTTTTGCAGTTCAAGAGCGCAAAGAAAACAACTTTGCTCTACCATCACGCAGACAGCTAAAGGAAAATGTTTCTCCACTGTTCTTTGGCTACTGCCCGTCTCTGTAGAGCATGGGAAGCGGTCTGGCCCCATGGCAGGGAGGAGCACAAGGCAGGTATACGTGGAGGGCAAGCAGCCCACAACTAGAGGTTACTCCGATCAGACGCAAGGACAAGCAAAAGCTTCAGTGTCCTCAGAGCAAAACAGACACCAAGCTGCCTTCTTCAAGTCACCTTCTCTTTGAGAGTCTCAGCAAAAATCCCAAAAGTCAGAAGAACGACAGAGCTCAGGAGCTGTCTCTAACAGAGCACTAGAGAATTAGGATACCACATCCCTAAATCCAGCCTGGATCCTAGACAGTTGGAGTTAAATTAATTTATTCAGCTGCAGTCTTTTTTTTTTTTTTAAGAAAAAAAAATTCACCCCGAGCTCTCCAGCAGGGAGTCATCCTAGACTGAACAAAACTAAATAGGCTGCAACGTTGAAGCAATCCCTTGGATTAGAGGATTATCCAAAGCTATCAGTCCAGAATAGGATGACGTATCTCACTCGGAAATGCTCTGACATGCTGACTGTCCAGAGATGGTTGGATTCGGCCAGGTTTCTTGTCAAAAACATTTACAACATGTTTAACAAGACACTACAGCACCAAACTGCTTTTATTCTGGTGGACTATATCCAAAATGGTGCTGTCCAAGCAAATGCTTTTAGTAAAGGTTTGTTGGCTACATTGCTGCAGTTCCTTTAACTCAGTGATGGATGCATTAGAATAATGCAATAATTTAAATAAATAATTTAAATATGCCGAATTTTAGTTCTTTGCAGCTGAGACAATATCGATTTATTTCTTGTTCGTGTAAGCAAGCAGCAGTTACAACAGACGGTATCACAGAACTATACCCAAAAGCAAGTTATTAGCAATGTCTTATTACGACAATACTTCACGCTTTATTGAAATAAGACAGTTCTGATTTTCCGTGCAAGATTTAAAAAGTAAGAGAACAAAACTGCACTGGTTTGTCACCAACCCCAGATGCTGTAGTATGAATCCCAAACTCTCATCTGGTCTATAACGATACAGTTACACGCAAAACACTGATGTTCTGCCTCCCCTCCTTCCGCAGGCAGAGGTACCGCAGAAATGGGTGAAGAGCGGACATTCCCTACAGGGCTGCTCTGGTTGCATCCTTTCTAAGGAACTTCCCAAGACTGACGGATGCCAATTCATCAATGCCAATTCAGTGAACCTTAATCCCACCTCAGCCTTCTCCCACTTAGGGACATACCAGTATATCCAGTGGAGCTCAAATTTGTGGCAGGCAGAGCCCCTCTGATTCAATATAAAGAAGGAAAGTCCAGAGACTCCAAGAAACCCAATGTGGCCGATTGTTTAAAAAACAATACCCCCTTCTGCGTGCCATCACTCATGGAAGCATTACACCAGTAAAAACCATCAAGATAAGCAAGCGTTGGCTTTTTACATTCATCCAGTTCTTGTATGTTCAATTTGAGATGTTACAGATGCCGGGACTTCTGAGGCTCACGCGCACAGCAAAATGAAGTTGGAAGATGCCATGGCAGACACAGTTGCAATAGCATTTACGTAGCTAAGGCAGGTCACCACAGCAGCAGCAGTGACTTCATCACGAGCTAACGTACAGCAGATGACAGCACAGCAGCCTTGCATACCTACGCTGTTGCTTGCCTACGCTATCAGTTCTTCTGAGCATGACCTACCTCTGCTACCTGGATTACAGTTTGGGTGGGTACACCAACCCTGCCGCTATCGCACTTTCATTTGGTTGTGCAAATTAACCAAGATAATTTCTTCTCTGTGCTGTTTTTGTCGGAGTTGGGGTAAATGCTGATATCAGTATAAAAGTAACGGCACACGACAGCCTTACGTTTCAAAGAGCTCTCAATTTATAAGGGTTGTTTCTGCAGAGCAGCCAAACATCTCAGATCCAATGTACTCAGCAAGCAATAATCGCAGAATACCAGTTTTCATTTACCCTCTTTGTACTGAGTTAAGCTAGAAAGTACCATAGAGAGGAATAGCTACAACACACCATTCAAAGTTACAGATACGATTCAAGAAGCTAAAGATTCACTTTCCTTTTCAGGATCCGTAAATGCCAGCGATGATGTTGAAGAGGCACTGACACACCTCAGGACTCCTGAGCATCATTCCAACCTTACGCGACTCACCACAACAGCATGAAGGAACCGAGAAGGTTGCACCCAACGCGTTGCTTGGGAGATTGACTCCCAGATACAAACAAAAATGCAGTCTGAAATGCAGAAAGAGAAGACTTGTGGTCCCTGGCTGAGAACATCCATGCCTTTGGAACTGCAACCACCATAGCTCTTCTGCAGCTTTCCAGGTTCCTTTCCCCTATGGCTGCATTTTACAGACAGCACTGCCTCTAAACACAGCATGCTGCATTTGATTTTCTTTGTCGACCATTAAGGCTTTCAGGGTTGGGGTTTTTTTTGGTGTATATTTACAGTAACACATACACCTTATAAACAACATGATCGGTTTTAAAGGATTCATCAGCAGAGGGGTTGGGAGAGGGATGCCAATGAACAAGAAAGCCAGGTAAATACAACAATTACTGATAAAATTCTTCTGTCATCCATGAGGTATTTGGTACCCATTGGATGAAACCATTGGAGAATACTTCTTGTATCTGTATAAGCCTGCACTTAGGATTTGAACGCACCAAGACAAGCTCTGATTTCTGTGGGGTTCAGTCTGAAGGTCAAACTTCGCTGTGCAGAGCTCGCCGCATGGTCTAGGACAGAGTTTACCGCAAGACTTGACTTTTCGAGGTGCTAAGCGATGGCAGAATACTTCTGCAGATCAATCCCTTCTGAGTTTACCTGAGCCAAAACCGAAAGCGTGCATAAACCAGGCCAAATCTTTTCTTAGGCATAACCTGTCACAAAAAGAGGGAGGGAGGTTGGTTGTTTCTTGGGTTTGGGGAATGTGAGACAAACGTCAAGACACCAGTAAAAGTGGGGAGCTCCTTTCCAAGGACTGAGCAAATTTGTTCCGCCCGGCAGGCTGAACTCCCGCCGAGTTAAAACTGAGCGCGAACTTTGGTACCAGACCAGATCTGGTCTATTCTCCGCAGAGTTCTACGATAGCTTTTCATATGACTACCACCTCTGTTTAGTTATTTATATGTAACATTTTAAACACACACAGCATTCACATGCATACACACGAAGACTGCCAGTTCATCTGACAGTGACTACTGCATTCCGTTTCACATGAATTTTTATTCTTCGCTCTACATATTTAAGGTACCTAAGTAAACACATCCCTAAGATTTTACGAAATGTTGCACTGCATCACAAGTAAAGTAACTGTCACACTTTCCTCCTTTTCCCTTCCCAAAGAGGGTTCATATTATTCCTTTTTGGTTATTTCCACTGTTGCTAAAAACACTTTGTAAATGGTAAATTGAGGGCTTCTGAACATTGATGAATGGCGTCCACACAAAAATAACATGGAAATAGAAAAAAAAAAATATTATACAAGAATTAACTCTTCTCATTCCGACCCACCACCGTTAAGTCATTTAACCCATGTTTTCAGCTAGTCACATCTATTCAGTGTTGCCACCAAATTTTTTTCACATCTGTTTCAACTTTGCTAGCAGAAAAGAAACACCTTTGCTTTTCACAATCATTTTCTTCCATGCTCTAGCGAGTGAGATGTAGTAAAACTAGGAATCAGAGCACATGATACGTTGCCAAAACAAGATACTATCTTCCTTTCATTTTCCATGATTAAACATCGGAAGACAGAAAGGCAGTCTCATCCCAGCAACCTGCACCGACATCTGGAAGACGCGTATCTGAGTCACAGCCAGCTGAAGACAGCCTTGCAATGCAGAAACAAGATATCCGCACTTTGGGAGAGAGAGAAAATCTGGAACAGCCCCAGCCCAACTGGGTTGATAGTTATTGTCATCTGCTTAAGGAATTCTTTAGTATCTAATGGTCTCGACTTTAAAAGGCCAGATGGATCCAGAGCATGTAAACACCAGACATGAAAGGAAAAAAAAAAACGAGAAAAAAACCCAATAAACCACAGTTCCTCCCTTTATCCATTCCAATTCTGTAGTAACAATAACTCAAAGTGATGTTTAGACTGCAAATTTGAGTTTTATACAAACCTGGCAACCAGGTCAAACCAAGGGACCAAGCACCCATGATAGTGACACAAGAATAAGCAAACATAATGGTTTCAAGATCCCCCTATACCATTATGCTAAATTAATACCCTTAAAGTACATAAGAGGTTAGCTCCATCTACCTTTCACTCATTTTTCATTGGGTGAAACCAACTTGGCAGACGTTGGACTGGTACCGTAGGAAGGGGAACCACCAGTTCC